CCAATTCAAGTGAGAAAAGAGGATTTAATGGCTGTTTCTTACCCAAAAATGCCCAGAATTCGCCCCCACAATAAGAGCAGCCGGCGGACAGAGCAAAGCAGATTCGGATTTTCCAGCAGGGGGGGGGAATTTCTGGGTTCAATTTGTGTTCTAGAGCAAGAAAAGAAGGAGAAACCCCAAGCTTTGCCAGTGTTCCCGGCCGGAAATGGGTGGCGGTGGTTGGGGCTCTTGCCGGCTGCGGGGGAGAAGAGCAGAGCAGAGCCGGGATTTCCTGGGTTTAATGAGAGTTCTAAGCCCCAAAATCAGTTCTTGAACAAGAAAGGAAGAGAAATTCCTCAAGATCTCACCGGGTTTTTCAAGGGGGAAGAAAGTCGGTGGCTTGGGGCTTGTCGGGGAAGAAGGAGAAGAGCAGGTCGCGGATAAGGAAGAAGAAAGAAAGAAAAAAAAAAGAAAAAAAAGTGATCCTTATCCAAATTATTTTCTTTTAAGCCCCTTGACTTTGAAAATTTTGTGATTTAACCCTAAAATAATATTTTCCTCAAATAAGTCCCCAATCAAATGCTAAAATACCCCAAAAATTTGGGATATTACAGGTAAATGAAAGTTGACCTTAACCCACCCATTACAAGTCACGAGTCAACTTACAAGCTGACCCAATTGAATTTTTTTCTATTTTTTCTCTATTATTTGTACCTATTATCATCTAAAAAAAAATTATTCAAAAGATTTAAAAATGAAATTCAACATCTTATAAAAAGATATTTTTTCTTATTAATTTAATAGAATATATTTACAATTCTTTATAATCACCTTCTCCACTCCCCTACAAAGAACAATGCTCTCATCAAATTCAAGAACACCACACACTTATAGATCTCAATAACAAAAAAAATAAAAGAAGTAATAGTAGCATGACAACCTAAAAACACAAACCCCATTGAAACACATTTGTTTTGGTTATTGCTTTCAAAAAATCAATCAATTAAATGCATCTAAGTAAATAAATAAATAAAAAATTAAAAACAAAATAAATAACTAATAAATTAAATTTTTTTTAATTTTTAGACCCGTAAACAAGTCAAACCCATTAACTTAGTGAGTCAACCCATTATTGACCCGTGACCGTCAAATTCTTTTAACGGATCATTAACGAATCATGGATCATAAATATCTTATCCTAATCCGTTTTAAACTGGCGGGTAATGGGCATAAATATCTTCAATTGGGTATCAGACACTACAACCACCCTGGGTTTTGACCTTAGCTGTAAGTTGCGCATGGCTTTTCTGATGCAGTTCAATGCTGCCTGTACTGCTCTTACAGACCTGAAACACAGACCAGCAGAGATATCATAATTGATAATATATATCATAATACACGTGTATATCGTATAGGGTTAGAAGTGTAAATATACTTCTATACATCTTGTATATATACCCTGATTATAACCTAATAAAGATTGATTCAGCCTCAATATTCTTTAATAATAACAAGTTTTAAATTATGTCAGTTGGCATTCATAAATATATAAGTGCCTTTCTAAGAAGGCCAAGTCTATTTTTAGCACATATACAAAACAGTCTCAC